TGATGCGAACACCCGGTGAGTAATGACGAGGCTCGTCCTCCTGTGCTGGGTGCGGATAGTCGTTCTCTAACAGAAGTAATCGCTCTATGCCGCCTCCGATGGCTTGGTCACGTATTGCGTATACGCTTCCATCGACTACCTTTCCCTGCGCTCTTCGCACGTGCTGGACAAGGCTGGCAGAAGCACCGCGGCGATCAAACCATGACATGGCGTAGAGGTATGAAGAAACTGGCTCCAGCTTTCGCCTCGGTTGGGGCCCAAGGGATACGGATTGTCGTCGGTTACAGACGCTTAGAGATATGGCCCAGAACAGAAGTCAGTGGCGCCAATGCTGTACAGTCTGCCTGTTAAAATCCTGTACCCCGTAAAAAACAAAAAATGTCAAGAAGTGTACTGTGAAACGTAAAATATTTATTATCCCGGGTATTTACCATTTTCCCGTGTTTAACTACTTTGCTCTCTTTCCACTTTGTTCTTTATCCTAATCCACCTGCCCCTTTTGTTGTTATTGTTATTACTGTTTTGGCGTTGGCACCATGCGTGTTCCCAAGCCGATGTTATATATATATATATATATCCTCTAACCACAGAAGAAATAGCTGCTGATATCGGATACCTGGGTTTTCGTGAAGATGAGATCTGAGTAGTAATTTACAATCGATGTCCCTTATCATTTAATTTGGGAAACCGAGAGATATCATGTAGATTGGGCTACCTCCTTAAAGACGCTACTCGAGAAGTACTGAAACATCACTCTATCAAACGTGGCTGCAAACGTTTGTCCTGTGAGTTGCTTTACCACAGTGAAGCGGCCATGCACAACCCAAACTTGGAGGATTTCTATCTCGCTAACGATCTATCGGTCAAACTAACTTCGGAGAACTCTGGAATACCGACACAAATTCAAGCGTTGGCGTGGCCCTTGAATGAATAAAAAAAGACCATCTGCTTGAAGTCCCATTCAATCGAACAGAAAATGGATTGTTCCTCTCAGGGGCAAGGTTGTCTCCCAAAAATGACAGCGTTACATGCAAATCCTCCAGACCCATCAGTGATGAACTTTATTGGAGCATGCATTCCTAGGCTACTGCCGGCGTAGATTATCCAAATTTTCGTTCACACCGTGGCCATGGACCATGCCGTGATATGAGCCAGACCTCGCCCGCGCCCGCGCCCAGTACAGATCAATCGGAAATAGACGCATACGATTAACTGTATTCAATACTTGCAAACTAGCCCACGGTGCAGATCTGTTCTGTCACATCTCGACTCAAGTAAGTGCCGCATAACTCGATCAACACTAGAAGTTGTGCGACCGATTAGATGTTGATGATCAAAGCATTTACATATATTACTGGCAACCTGTAGACGCCTGTGCCCATGGAGTCATCTAATGCGCTATCAATCAAACCAAAGTTTTCAATAAATTTCCGCTGTATTAGCCCTTTCCGTTATACAAATGATCAAGTGATTGGACACGGATAATTGTATCTTCATCAAGTGGTGACTCGTTTTTGCTGGTGTTTGGCGAATGTACAGGCAACAAGCAAGGGGAAAATGAGAGAAGCATCTCCGGTGATTTTGATAGGTTCCGCCGCTCCACGAATCTTGCCCCAGCTTACTGCCTCGTCGGGGCGTGCTCCGGAATCGCTGCCATCAAACTCCTGCCCAGTGTTAATCAGAACCACGTAATCCGATCCGTTACGCATTAGGTTGGCATTGAATGTGTGGTGCTTTACGATCCCACCACCCAAGACGATCATGGCCGTAGCACGAGAGTAAATAGCGAGTAAGTTTATTCGTCGCACATCCTCGACAATATCAACACGGAATCCGGGCGTGCGAAATGTGTGACTGAACAGAACATCGCCTAGCGCACCGTCCGTGAGTCCAGGACAGAAGACGGGAATTTTGTTCTGTGAAGGTTTAAAAAAAACTGTTTGTACAAGGTGCAGAACAAGCAAGTACAAGACTGATGAATTTAGTGTGTGTATTCAATAATTTAAGGGAACCGTGTCTACACAATTGATCAACCACCGCAGACGTCCGAGGTTAGCAGGACATACAGATGAACGAAGGTCAGTAAATATCTTGCCCAGGGGATCAGGTCAAGTAGGTCGAGTGACACTCGTTTATGGGGGGACCTCAGGACCAACCTGACCGGTGACTAAAAACAACGAGAGTCAGGTGCTTGTATATCTACTCACTTTTGAAGCATCTATTTTTTTACGCGTGTTCTGTTCTTTTGTTCGGGTACTGCTCTCAGATTTTTTTACTCCTTTCTTCATTGGTCAACCAAATGAGTAGCCCCTAGACAGCGACCCACAAAAGTGCTAATGGCTAATGGTTGTACAAGATAACCTGATCTGCGGACGTATGTGGATCGAAACCCAGTTTTGGAATCACGTAACAGGGGATAAGTATACGAAAGAATACCTAAGAGATGTTACATCATTCGTTTTACCCAAGATACGTTGCTAAAGAGGGAACCATTCCAGTATACAGCTTATCGCAGTGAAATTTTCGACGTAAATCGCAGCACGCCACACTGTGAAACGATTAACCTTATCATACGGAGTCGCGACTGACTTTGTTCAAAAAACCATAGCACAATAATCTTCATAAAAAATAGAAAGTTTCATTAATTGTTTGTGGGCGGAATACACGGACAGGTTCCCCAAGCCAAGAAAGACTGGTTTCATACAAATTGTAATTTTTGGGAAAACACAGCGATGTCGGTACAGGTGAAATAAGCCGACG